TAGACTTACCTTTCCAAATCGGGTCACGAAGCTTAAAAGGGTTGAATCTTTCTTTCAAAACAAAACCGAAACACAGCAATAAACAATGCCGCAAGATCGATTCGTCGCCCGCAAGTACTAACACTAGGCAAATGTGTGTACTACCCATCATTCCCATGGTCGCTGAACGATCGCAGCGACAGAGTCCCCCCTAGTTAATTTAAGGAAATTATGCGTTGACTGACTGACTGCGCGTCTTGATCTCGATCGCGAAACCAAGGTTGGCAAGCCAGCAAACCAGTGCATGTAGAACTGAGTCACGCAGTCGGCCACTAGTAAGGAGTATGGCAGCGGCAGCCATACTTCCTACTAGCGCCGCGTAGTTCAGGACGACAGCAGAGGAGCTCTCCAGGAACGAGGCTGATGATCTCGTAGGCCGTAAGAAGGACGCCGGTGATTGCGGTACTAGCGAGCAGGATGTTGCAATCGTCGGCGTAGCATGGGTCGCGACGTGTGAAGACGCCGCACGGCGATATTACAATGCAGATGCAGAAGGAGCAGCCAATGACGCAAATGGGGAGCTTCAAAAGGCGAAAAAGAAAAGAAGAAATAGATGAAAAAAAGCGATGTGAAAAGGCGACGTACTGATGTGAAGGCTACGAAGCACGTAGGCAATGGAATACATGCAGAAGTGAGTAAGGTGAGCGCTGGTTATGCGGATATTGACCGCCACGACAGCAAAGAAGCGGAGGAGTTCCTGGATGTTAAAGCGGCGGCCATTGAAGGGGGAGCCGAGGAGGACGCCGAAGGTTACGACCACACAGATGCAGATGCCTGGGAAGGAGCAGCTTACAGCGCAGACAGTGAAATCGCAGAGGGTGTGACCGATGTCGAGTACTACGTGGGCGAAGGCACCATCCGAAATGGCAAATGGGACGAAATGCAGGGTGTGGACGCTGACGATGCAAAGGTCGTGCTTGACGTGGACGATGTCCCGATTGCCAAGGATGAGAGAGCTGCAAAAGTTTCGGACGACACTGAGAAGTTCAAAAAGGTTGTGAGGAGGGAAGCAGAAGAGCCTGGGAAGCCAATGCTAGGATCATGCAAGAAACCATCTGCGTCGGACACGACGATGTTGAGCACAGCTGAGTTTAGCCCGGGGTATGCCAGGCGGTCTATCAATGACACAGAGGGGGACCACAATAATGTCGAGGTTCACATCTCTTAAAGTTGCTGTAGTACCAAGATCAGCAAAATCCGAAGGTTGCCGAAGTCCCAGGTAACAAGCAAAATCCGAAGAGTGGTTGCCGAAGTCCCAGGCAACAAGCCTTCTGTGGACGTCCCATCACGCCTCCATGGCTGCCGAGGTCGCCGGCGTTCAACAACTCCTACCTGGACGAGTGGCTGTCACCCGCGCATGAATGATCTGGTCAGCTATAACGGCAGCACCACAAAACAGCTTACGATTCTCTGAGATTGATGCTGCACGAGGAGCATCGGAGTTCTGTCATGCGAGTCGGGCGGCGGTGACAGTGTTGACCCCCTGCACGGATTTACTGCGCTGGCATGTGGTCTCGTGTGCTATGTGTGATCCGTTGTGGCCAGGGTTAACTGGTACTGCAGCACGTCCCTCCCTCCACTTTCGCCGAAGGGCAGTGGGGCAGTATGGGAGCAGCAGCCATGGGCGCGTCGAGATCGTAAAAAAAAAAGAGGACAATGACAGTCGCGGGCGTGCTCGTGGCACACGGCAGCCGCTGGCAGCGAGCAATTGCAGCCCGGGTTCTTATCAGTAAACATGGTTTCTATCAGTATCCGCCACTTCCCTGAGAGGTTGTCGGGCTAGTCTCAAATCCCTTCAAGAGCAAGTGCTCTCACGCGTGGTAAATGCCATTTGAGTGTGATCATAAATCGACGAAAGAAAGAAAGGTAACAGAAGTCGGCCCACTTGCCGTCTGTTCGCACATTGATCAGCGTTGAGTGGCGCTGTTGCAGGGATTGCTTGCTGTTGATGGACTACCTAACGAACCATGTTAATTAAGTCTGTTAGTTATACTGTTAGGTTTAGTCTCATTAGTTCTCAGCACTTGCCGAATGCTAAAACGTCCTTCCTGGGCCAAAGCTTAGAACACCCGTTACGGCGGATCCAAGGGGTGGAGATTTTAGGAATAGAGGAGTGTTTGGCCATTCACACCAGCCCCCCCCCCCCCCCCCTCCAAGGACCTTCCAAAAAAAAAAAAAGCCACCAGCTCTCATTCTATTTAACTGGTCTGTTGTCGTTTTTCATTTAGTTAATATTCGTTGGAAGCCATAGGTAATGTCCAACTAAGTGAGTTGCATGCGGACTTATACCTGGCAGTCGTTCATTAATAGGATTTTAAGGAGAAAATTTCGGGAGCACTGGGTGTCACTAAAGCCAACATTTCGATAAGCGGACTTCAAGGTTGCCTTGATGAAAGGCATCTTTCCCCTTTATATTCAGATTGATCACTGACTACGGCTAGGTACCCTGCAGTTTATTTTGTACCAGTTTAATTTCTTTACCTCGAATATTTGAAAAAGCAGATTAAATTCTTGGCAGTGGAACGAAAATGCAAATTGCTGCCCACGCCTTTAAAAATTATAGAGTATGACGCAACTCATCCATAGTGAGTTGTGGGGATTATTGAATTCACTATCTATACAGGCAATTTCGAACAGTATGTTCTCATTTTCAACGATTTTGATTCCTTTTCTTACTATAATTGTTGGACAACTGCTTCTCTGGATAGAACTTTCTTTTAATGACACTCATTCGCAGAAACCGTATGTGTGCGCTTGTCTTGTCACTAATAGTTTACTTCAATACATGTTGTGCTGTGTCGTGAAACTATACCCAGGGACAACTTTCTGTGGCAAGAAGAGAAAAGTACTGGGGCGGAGCTAACTGCTTCTTGTTACTGCTCCAAAGTACTTTGCAAAAACTTCTTTCGGTCAAGTTTCGGCATGACAGATGCATATTTACTGCAGTTAATTTCTTCGTATGTGCTCCTTGGTTGGTCACATTGAACCATGATTACTGAGTGTTCATACATATTAACATTTCTTTACCAACGATTTAGTTTGTCTGTCATTCTGTGTCGTTCAAAAATGACATGAATATTTTCAGCGCTGCAGTGTTTAGGGGATGCACTGATATGTAAAGTCATCTAAAGCTGAAAACTGACGCGTCTAGGATGCTCACAGATAGCGTGAGCGTGGTATATCGAAGAGCAGCTCGCACGTCCTGCAGCCCGAAGCAAAATGCAGTATGGATCGCGTTGAGTTATGCCGGCATGAAAAGGCATCGGTGGCCCATTGCCCACACGCTATGTGGCTCCTCAAAAAACGTATAGCGGTGACCTCGCGTCACTGTAGAACCCACGAACCCTCTGCTCAATCGCAACGGCTGCTTGTTGTTCATCTCCTTCTATAAAACTGTACGGGCATGGGCTCATTTCTTATGATGCTGGGTAGCGCTGGTTTTCTACATCTCAGGATAGCAATCGTATGTTGAAATGGTTTGATTACTTGGAACAGGAAGGCATGTAAATCACGGTAAGTCTGTAAAATGTCAAGCTTTTGGAACATCTGCACAATCGGAGCTGGTTCTAAAGTTCAAAAATAAATAATCTGACTTGAGTCGTGCGACTGTACGCTCGCTCACGCTGGTAAGCTGGCTAACCGAAGGATACACAGAAGTGATGGAGAGTTGTGGCAGTCTCATGTGGGGGTACACATTGACAACCAATTCGTTGGTTTGTTTTGACAACTATTGGTACTCAAGCTTCTTGAATATCTCGTGCGATAAGCGAATTGGTGAGCAACCGGAGCAAGAAGGCACTATTGAGGCAGAGGTCATTTTTTTTTCTGAAGGGAGTTGGTGAAGGAAGGGAGCCAATGTGGTGGCAGTGAGGAACACGGCAATTAAAAAAAAATGTATTTTAAAATAGAATGCTATTTTACATAATATCACTAATTTTCTGTCATTATCAACTAGCAGCTAAATGTTATAACTGTATATTTTAAATCGTTGCATTTCGCAGAAAATTTTTTTTACGGAAGTCCTTCCAGTTGTGCAGTGACACTGACGAAAGGGCATGGTAAGGCTCTTTCGTCTTGACTGTATTGCTACTGGAAGTTGTCCCTGAGTATAGTGTGTGACACTATTTCGTGCTAAGGTTTTCAATAATGGCTGCTCTCTAGGTGTTCGCCTTGTCTTGTTTACATTGCAGTACGCACCCAAGAATATTCACCGAAAATTTCAATTTTTTCTGCTCCATGTGGTCCTAAATTAACTTTTAACTGTTGGAAACGTGCTTCAAAGCAGTTTTTTTTTTGCTCCGTAAATCGCTTCAAAAATTGCTGCAAATCCTAAACCGGCTGGACCACCATTGAGGATTCCTCATCGCTTAGTAATCCCCGACTGAACACAATATAGCGACGATATTACAAGCAGTATGTCACATTCCTAGTTTTCTAAAAAAAGCGTGGGGGGGTGATCTATTAATACTAACTACCTTGGGGGGGTCATGAGGCTTTAAGAAAGGCACTCATATTTAGCAGAAGTGTGTATTGCATTCCTCCGCCTTAAGCCTTCTGGCCTGAGTGAAGTGTTGCGTTGCCGTCTTGTAACTTTGCCCGTACTGTGCAGTGAAGTTTTTTGTTTTTCTGCAGCAGTGATGGCTCGCAAGCTTTAAAAAATGTTTTTGTGCGAAACGTAGCATTGTGTTCTGATTAATGCTCTTCCTTTCTTGAGTCAGCCTGCACTTCTGAGGAACATTTTCATCCACAATCAGTGTGTACATCTAAGGAACCAATTGTTTCTGTTTACTGTATCATGGGATATGTTTTAATGCAATTTGCCTGTGCGTTCGATGTGCTGGTTGTGCAATGTTCCTGCAGATGTCTCTAAAAAACAGACATCATGTTGATGCAGAGCATGCAGTGTATGTTACTTCAGCGCACCTAACATTGTTCTCTGCCCCTCCCCCCTTTTCTTTCAGTTTATGGATCGCCTTTCAGGAGACAAGGGCAGGTCAATTGTGTGAGCTTTTGTGCTGGGCCCCATGGCAGCTGCTTTTGGCACTAAGGCAGGCCGCCATCCTTCTCTACTCGGCGGTGTCCATGGTGGCCAAGGGGGGCCGCCTGGGCACGGAATGGAGCTGCTGGTGTTGCACAGCAGACACAGGATGCTGCAGTTGAAGGCCTGGCGAGGGGAGTTACAGCTGTGAAAGGGGCTGCCACATTGACTGCTGCCGCTGTCGGAGCCGGTGCTCTGGGGGTGCAATGGACAGCGAGTCTAGATGCGGCAGATGGGGCGTTAGCAACCACAAAAGGATGAACCGCAGTGAATTTGGGCGTGGAATGAGCAGCAATCGTGGCGGTGGCAGTGTGGCAAGCTTCTGAGCGGACGAGGTTCAGGCGGCAAAGTCTGCAGTGGCTGTCGGCGTCGCAGGGGCTGCAACGGTTGCTAAGGCTGTGGCTGCTGCAGCAGTGGTGAGCTTAGGAGCAGATGCTGCGCATGCAGAAAAGTCATCTGCAGTGGCTGTCGGTGTTGCTGGAGCTGCGCCTTCCGCTAAGGCTGCGGCTCATGCCGAGGGAGCGGCAGCTGCAGCAACCGCGAAAGCAAAGATGGCAGCACATGCCACCCGCTCTGCAGCTTCCTTCAGAGCTGCAGAAGCAGCGCAGCTGGTAAGTGCTGCAGTAGGCATCGGCGCAGCAACCGCTGTTCGCGCCGTCACTTCTGCGGCAGAACTTGGTGTGCACGTGTGTTGCAGGTCTGGGATGCTTAGCAAAAGCGCAGAACAAACCAGTAGTCCCCAAATAACAAGGAAGCCAGCTACTGAAAGGGCCCGTCGCCCAAATGAAATAGCCAGTGATCGTTTCAGCGTAACTAGAACAGCCCGAAAAAACTTTGGCGCATCGCAACAGTTTCCCAAATGTTCACCCAGACATTAACTATGGCCAATACACATCTCACATACTGCCTGACGATGCCTGACATTAACTGTGGCCAATACACATCTCACATACTGCCTGACGATGCCTGGCTATTGATCTTCCTCACCATCTGTCACCATGCTCTTTGAATGTGCCTTGCCATCCATTCATGCGACATCATCACTCCCCGCCCTCATTATTGGTTGTGCTACGTCTGCCTTGCCTCTAAATTCTTTTTTCTTTTGTTTAGCAACGCATCGCCAGCAGCTGTCAATAAAGGGATGTTGTAATGTCACATAAAAGTACATGCTGTTTTTTAGGTCATGTGTTGAACCTTTAATGCAGAAATGTGCAGTGTCTTGTCGTGACACTACCACGCATTTCTCGGCAGTCTTTCAGTGTGTAAAGGGAAGCAGCTGTAACCATAACACACTTCATTATTTAATTAATGTCTAGTAATGTTTCTTGGTAGTTTCAATTTGCTCATTTTCATTGGTGTACTTGGAACATGCTGTGTATAGTGACTCTTCTGCCTAATTTTTCCTTTGGTATTAAGACAAATAAAGATATAGAGTGACAGTTACAAACTGGCCCAGAAGGTGATTGTCCCAGAATATCTTGGCATCTACCACGCAATAACACTGATACATGGTAGGCACAGGTTTTGCTCTAGAAGGCCGATTTGTATACTTTTGAGTGACAGGAAATTGGGCTAATTTGCAGCTGTTCATTTTGAACGAACAGAAAGCATATGAGCATGGGCACAGCCTTGCCGTTATTTCGTTCTCTTCCGTCCTGGTGTGCATAGACGTTCTGCTCTGTTCATACCCCCCTGTTAAGTCAGTATATAGTGGAGGTTTTCGCCCTTACCACGCAAGCACGCTTGCGCTTATACGCAGGCCTACGATGACTGTCTGCCACGTGTATGGGCTGGCGTAGTGACTTTTACAGCACAACCTTATTACAGATGGCTCTCTGGGTGCCGACATAGTCCGCTCTGGGCTCTGTGCTCAAAAGGTGTGCCCCCCCCCCCCCAAATGCTGTGTCGAGGCATTGACATTCAGCCTTAGTACGACAGTGCTAAGGCACGTTGCCGGGCTAGTTGGTTGAGATTCATCATTTTCACTGGTATAGCGCACCACGACAAGGACACACACAAAGGAGAGATGCACACACAAACAGCGCTATGTGTGTGTGCATCTGTGTAGCGCTGTGTGTGTGTGTGCATCTCTCCTTTGTGTGTGTCCTTGTCGTGGTGCGCTATACCAGTGAAAATGATTAGTACAACAGCATTACACCAGGCAGCATTTTTTTTTCCTCTCCCATCAGAACCATTGGCGACTCTTCTATTTGCGATATAGGCAGCCATGGCGTAGTAGTTAGAGTATCAACGTCGTGTGCGAGAGGTCCGTGGTTTGAATCCCAGTACGGCGCGATTCCCCACCGGAATAAAAAAATTATCCGCGTAATAATAGAACTGCATAAAGAGGCCTCAGGTGCGGCCTCACTTGTGACCACCGCCGGTAACCGCACTCCCTCACTAGAGAAGGATTTGCCACCCTGATGCAGTATCTGGCCACTTCCTCTCACACGGGTACGCCAAATAACCCTCCGCCCTAAGTCCCCAGTGGCTGCGAAGCAACTGACTATGGCAGTGGTCAGATCTGCAACGCAGCAGAAACTTCTAAGAAACTCTCGGTCCGGACAGGTTATCATTGGAACCTGAACTTGACAACGTTTAACTCTAGAACCTTATCTAATGAGTCAAGGCTAGCTGTCCTATGCAGAAGCTAGAGGGTGTTACATGAGGTGTAATGAGGCTTAGTGAAGTTAAGAAGACAGATGAAGCCTATACAGTGCTACTGAATGCGCATGTTCTTTGCTATCGTGCCTTGTCTGACAGAAAAAATGGTGGGGGTCCTTATCTACAGAAATATAGCTGGTAACTTTGACGAGTACAATAAAGTTAATGAACGGGTTATAGGTGTTGCAGGGTGTGTACAGGTCCTTAAAAACTCTTGAATATGAAAAATGCATTATAAAGCCCCTTGAAAGGCCTTGAATTTTTCCACGTCCTTGAAAACCCTGAATTGCCCCGCCGCGGTGTTCTAGTGGCTAAGGTACTCGGCTGCTGACCCGCAGGTCGGGGGTTCGAATCCCGGCTGCGGCGGCTGCATTTCCGATGGAGGTGGAAATGTTGTAGGGCCCGTGTTCTCAGATTTGGGTGCACGTTAAAGAACCCCAGGTGGTCGAAATTTCCGGAGCCCTCAACTACGGCGTCTCTCATAATCAAATGGTGGTTTTGGGACGTTAAACCCCACATATCAATCAATCAATTGAAAACCCTGAATTTCCTGAGCGCTTCCAATCGACATTGTGGCCTCCATTATGTGGTATATAGATCGGCACACCTGCCAGTCTCCCTGATTTCGAGCAGTTCTTGCGTTAGTACGGTTGTCAGGAAAATCTTACGGATATTGAAATTTCTGCGCGGGATCTGGTCGCATTGTTAAAAAAAGCAGCCCAATCCAATCCAGGTTTCTCACGAACCCATCAGATTTTATTGTAAACTAATTTAGGAGGCGTTCATCTGAACGGGCATTGGTCCGAATTTCGGATGTTTCGAGTTATTCTGCTCATCGCGGTGTGTCGTATGAGCTTTACTGCCAAAACCGTATAACGAGGGCTGAGAGCAGCGTGCTCGAAACTTCGAAACGTCGCGCGCAGCCAGGGCACGCACTGTCAGAGCTGCAGTTATCGTTTGCCATAACCGCTGTGAACGAAACTGCGGTCGCTCTTGACACGATCATGTGTGGTGACGATGTAACTGACAGAACTGCGAAAGTGCACGTGTGTTTTATGCGTGACCAGTTAAGTGACATTGCTTCCCAAGAAAGCTGTGAACAAAATCGTGACAGATGTGATCATAGCAAAAAAAAAAAAAAAAAAAACATGGTTTAAAAGGCACATGCCCAGCCAGCGCACGTGGATTAAAAACGGAACTACCCTTTTCCGGAACTGCCGCGTGTGAGACTGTGGTTGCGGCGGCGCAATCACTAGCCAAAGGAACACAGCTAATGCAGCGGTAGAGACGACAAAAATGTGGAAAACCCTAAATTGGTTTTGGGTTTCTGTCAAAAGAATTCAATAATGTTGTTCCTATTGATCTGGGTACATGGGCTATACTTTGGCATAAAATTTTCAGTTGTCCTTAAGCTAAGCTTCGACCCACACTATAGGGAAGACGGGCTCAAGTTTGCGAATTAAGCACCGTTCACCGCCCTAGCGGAGAGAGGGCAAAGCTCCGGTCGCTGAGACGGGCTGCGCTTGCTTGGTTTTCCCATTACGTGCGCGGAAAACAAATTCCTTGGGGCTTTTATTTTGCATTTTGCTCACTATGGGCGTCACTCCTTCGTCATCTTAGAAAGCAGGCACGCACTCCTGCTGCACTGTCAGCCGCTGCAAAAGGTTTAAAATGTCGAAGAGCTGAAAACTTCCCGTGAAGTTCAACCGTTTTCTAAGCAAATATACTGGTCACTTTGAAGAATCTTTTTTCGTTCACAGTATTACGAACTATCCAAGGGGAGAAAATCGATGGCCGGACACATATCAAAAGCAAGTGCGTTTGTAAACGGAAGCTACAGCAAATAGACAACTGCTGTGCATTTCGATATCGGGCACCATCTTTCCGCAAGTCGACATGCCCTTCTGAGTCATTGTGACAGAAAGTGGAACGTGGCAAAAGCAACTCGGCTTGTTTATTCAGAACCATCTAAAGTGTCTAACGAGTGATGACCCTTTTCTGATCGAAAACTCGTAGGCACTGATTAAATTTTTCAAACAGCCAAATCAAGCTAATGTGTTTGGTTTTTCAATTGACATAAAGAACCTATACTACGCACTGCCTCACGATGAGGTATTAGAATGTATAAGGAATAACATAGATGCCTTCGGGGAATTGAACTTCTAATGAAAAACTGGCATCAGTGCGCGAGATTTCCTTGACTTTGTTTTGCTGTACCATACTTCTACGTTTGTTTAATGAAATTATTGCATTTATCTGCAGGAAAAACGTGTTTCAATGGGCTCATGCATAGCATCTCTACTCAGTGATCTACTATTGGCAAAAATGGGCAATAAACGGCAAGAAAAGTTAGAGGGCAAGCGTGTCTTCAAAGTCTTCAGATACGTGGGTGATTTCTTGGTTCTTCTAAATTGTAACCCTTCTATGTTCCACTCGATTGCGATTCAAACTATAAACTTGTTTGAAGATTATTTAGAGCCTCTTATGTTGACACATAAAATGCCCGAGAATGACAAGTTACGCTTTCTTGATTTAAGGCTGTTTTTTAGCACACAGCATATTTGTTGGTGTTACGCACCACGTGTGCAGAAACCTATGCTTCTTTTTCCCTCAGCTCACAGCAAGTTAGTAAAGCGAGGCATAGCATGGACCTGCCTTGAGAATGCCTTGAACAGGCCGTGCTTTCACAACATCTTTGCGAGCTTCGAAGCTGAAGTGTCCCGGCTTATGGCTTCGGGTTTTCCTGAGGCATTTATCGCATCTGTACCTGAGACTATCCTGCAGACCAATAGGGCAGAGGAGAGGCAGGGACAGGATTCGAGCAGCACGGATATAGAGCGTGGAAGGATAGTTTTTATTCCGTGAAACACCAAATATCACACAGGCTCAAGAAAATCGGAAGACGTGCAGGAGTTCTTGTGCTGTTCTCTACACCGTTCAAATAATCAGTCTCGCCAAATCTACAAACCCCCTGGAAAAGCAGACATCAACTGAATGTAGAATTAAGCATAGGAATAAGTATGTGGCATATTCCCGGGAAGTTGTCTTTAGGACCCTCCTTTCCTGTGGTGTTTGTTATGTCGGAACAACCGGAAGGTGTCTGAATGATGGTCTGAGAGAACACGCAAACAATGTTAGAAACAAGAAAAATGGTTTTCTTGCTCAGCACTGCACTGAGTGCAACTGTGTGCCCCCTTTTCAAGGACACAGTGACGCTGTATAAGCACAGGGATCAGCGCACCTGAGAAAGTGCAGTCAGCACTTTTTCTATTTTGGTGTTGTGCGGCGGTTTGTTTGATTGCGATATTATTTGCTGCGAATGTGGCGATGCGTGAGCGCTAGGCTGTTTCAGCAAGTGGTAGTGTTGAATGACCAACAACTTGCGTCGATGTGATTACACACGAGTGATAGTTGTGTGTGCGTGTTGTGCGGCGGTTTGTACGTTTTTATGATTGCAGTGTATGATGATACACAAGTGTTGGCTGATTTGTGCAGACGTTGGTTCTGAATGAGATGGTGCGCACTTACGCGCCTACTGAATGCTTTCACATGGGTACTTGCTGCATGTGGTCACCTTTAAGTGCGATAAGGGCCGATTGCGATCAGTTCGCAATTGGACTGGCCGGCTGCTTCATACTTGATCCTGATTGGTTTGGGCCTTATAGCGGTAAGCAATACCGGTTTCACTCGACATCGCGAGCAACAAGTTTGTCGCTGCTGTGCAGCGCTGTACAGCCTAATCCAGATCGAGTTTGGCTCAAATGCCCTGATCACGATCGTGAGTGCCTGTGTGA